GGGTTCTCTTTCACACCCTTCAACCATAGCTACGCCGAATGTTCATTTCAACGTGCTAGGTCCTTTATTTAACCTTCACGGAAATACATCTTCAAAGAACGATGAATTTCTTGATTCAAGTTATCGTGTTCTTATGTACACCCAAACTATAGGACTCGTGTACTAAGAACTGATACACACATTTGGCAAGACACCCCTACATTTCAGGCATTAGTAGGAAAACTTCCTACGTACCTATAATTCGTAAGAATTCCATGTGGGTAACCTTAATTAAAAGGTACTTACTTGTCCAAAGTATTGTCTCACCCCACATACTTTGAGGTAGACCCGAACTTATCAACGTCTTAATATTTATGTTCGGCAACAACACTCGATTGAAGTGAATACTGTGTCGTACGCTCGAGAACGATACCAATGCTTGCGCCGAAATCACCAGTAGGTGTTTCTTTTCCACCACATCGATTGTTCGTAACCGTATTAATCCACGATTAATATGATTTTCTTTTTTATTCTTTTAAAGAATAAACATGTGCTCCAGGTTAGCACATCTCGTAGAAGCTAACAGATTAGCCTTTACAAATCCATTCGGTTTTTGACCGAAGGCCACAAACCCGAATCAGTGCTTCCAAAAAATTGAAGCACGAATCAGTGCTTAGTAATGAAGCACGAAACATGCTACACAAAGCACGAATCATTGCTGCTAAACTAACGCACCGATTCCAAAGCAATCTCTATTGCTTTAAATTATAAACTCACAACAACATTCGGTTGCTTAATTTATAATTCCAGTACTACTTAGCACTAGGATTATTAGTTGATTACACAATTAACCAAACCTCCTTTCGTGCTAATCACATAACACTTTTACAATGCTAAATTTAATTAGCCCCTTGCACAGTGCTAATTCTACATTTTGGACGTCCAGTGCTGTTTAAGCACTACAATTAGCACTTCAACAATGCTAAGTTTAATTAGCATTTTCCGTTAAGCTCAAGCTTAATTTTAACGTCCCAACAATTTGTCTCAAATCACATTTCATACTAGTATAATTTGGAATTTTGATCAAGTTAATTATAACACAATTACCAAGAACAAATCAACCAAATTCCCGACTAGTTGAATCAAACTCATATAATCGTTCTTAGAATATTATATAAAATATTCAACACTTGAATTGTGACGCTCACGATTATATAGTTATCCCAATTTTTGACAAATTGTTCCTTGAAATCCTTATCGTTCTACATGAACCAGGACCACAATCCTTTTATGGGATTTCAGACATGTAACACACTTGTTACATTTCGTTCCGTCCGTTAAGCCATTTTAGCATTTTCCACATAATGCTACGTGATGCACTACGCACCCATATCGAATCATTTTATACATTTGACATTATTCTTACAAATAATTCTTATGTACCAAGATTCAACTCAATGGAACAATTATATTTTTATTCAAATAAAAATATTACAAGGATACTACAATATTTATTCAAAAATAAATAAATTGGAAAAAACTACATTGGAAACAAATTCCTTATTCCTATCTCGTAGTAGTCCTTCAACCCGTGTGCCTTGTTCCATTTTTCAACTGCCCACTCCACGAAGGGTGGTCCATAGCGCACATCGGGGGTACCTCTCGGTTGTGACCTCACTCGTCCAACCATCCACACGTTTTAAACATAGCGAAGTTGTCTTCAACCTTTTCACCAGGATGACGGTTCGCTTCGTAGTGGCATTTCTCCTTCTTTCCATAATCTTCTTGAAAGCTAAGCTTCCGCTTAAGTTTCCTTTGATTACGGTTGAAGTCATTGGTCACACTACCATAGTCCTCAGACCATGTAGTGGTCACACCATCATAGGATCCTTCGTGGCTTTTAGCCGATCCACTAGGAAACACAATAGGTACCAATTGTGTGCCATTAGCCACAGGTCTACCGATTCGTGAATCAACGTTCTCCGGAGTACCATCGTGTGTCTTTGCAACTACAATGGAAATATCATTTTCAACATTGCTGCCATCAACTGGCATCACGGAATGTGCAACATCATTGCCGTTCCGACCGCTTGAATGTGCACCACGAGCAACATTCACGGATCTAAAACTCTTGGAATCCATCGACTTGTTCATTATCAAAATTATAAGGATTTAAGATTGTTGGAGATAATGAACCAAAATCGATTTAATATCCCAAAAATAATATTTATATATACACACACAAGTATATAAAATATTATTGGATATTTATCCAAAATATATATATACACACAAATATATATAAAACGGACTCAAAGGTTATATATACATGTATATCTACGAAAAAGATATACCAATATATATCAACCAAAATTGGAACTAATAATCCTCAGATTATAAGTCCAATCTAACGAAAAATATCAAAAAGGGAGAACGGATTTTTGCTTAAAAGCATAATCCAACAACAAGAAAGAAGGAGAAGAAGAAAGAAATGTACGAGTTAGGCGAGATGCCTTTCTTTCCTTAAAACCTTATTTGTCACCTCCCAAAAGTGCTAGGAGCATTATGAGCTAGGCTTCCCAGGATAAAACGTACAACGGTTCGACGTTTGAGCACCCAAACGAACGAACCCGGCGAATAAGAGCACGGGCAAAACACAGCTTCAAGAATGGAGTAGGAGCATAATTTTGAGAAGAAAAGGGAATTTCTTTGTGTGTGTTCTTGTGTTGTTTCTCACTTTCTCTCTATCACTGTCACTTTTTCCTTAAAAAATAAGTTGCTCCCACAACATGTTTATATAGGAGATTTAGGATTTAATAGCATATTCATGGCACATAAAACCCAACATTAATCCAATTTAATAATTGGATAATAACGTTTGAAACGGTCGTACTTATTATCGAAATAATATCAACGGTCACGAACTTAATATCCGATTAATTCGTACCGACCATAACGACCTGGTTCAAAATATCTGAGTGACCGAGAAGTTCGTACAAACTCGAAAGTTTAACGAATTGGGACCGGAAACCACACCCGAGTAGTCCGCAAACTCCGAAACGGTGCAACACGAATCAATGCATATAACATTGATTCGTGCTCACCGAATCTAAAAGCCACGAAAATAGCTCACACATAAGCACGAAAGGAGCGCGAAACTTTTCAATTCCATGCAACATTTGTCCATGCATATTTGCTACATTCCCAATTCCAAAGCTTAATTAAGCTTTCAAAACAAAGGAACTTTCGTGCATGCACCTTTCGTTCATGCATCATTAAGCCACGAAAGGTGCATCCCAATTCCAAAACTTTATAATTAAGCTTTCAAAGCTTAGTACACTTAAGCACCAACTTTCGTGAAGTGCAACGAATGTTATTAGAATGCTAATTTTAATTAGCATCTAAACTTAAGTTTTTGACTTCTCTCAAATAGGTTCACTTTTGAGAATCAATTTCTCATTCACCTATTACTCATTTTGAACGTACATTATATCAAATTCTTCGTCTCACTACGAAGAACCCGAATCCACATTGACCCGACCCAAATCAAAAGTGGATCCCACATATATTTGTACCACAAAATAATCACTCAAAATGTCATTTTAATGCTATTTTTCCAACACCTTTAAGATTAACTCTCTATCCCAAACAAAAAGCAAGTCATTTAAAATATCAATATCCTAAGCATTCCCTTCACAATTCATAAGATTTGAAACCCTTGCATCATGTAAAGTAGGATAAAAAAGAGTGCCAACATAAGGGTTATCAATACAGGGCAACCAAGGATCCCCCAAACCCGAACCTTTTTCCATCCTTGATCCTCTACCGCACCCCTCCTTTAAACTTATCCCAAGCCTCCCAAATACCTCTCCATACAAAAGACGGATCCCTCCCCAACTGTGCAGAATCAAAGGAACCCCCCGGGCCCCTCCGAGGATAATATCTAGCTCTAAAATTGATGGTAATCTTCTATCCGATAAAATTACATACATTTGGAGTGTCCAGTAGTTTAATTGCACGTTTTTGGAGTGTTCAGTGGCCTAATTGCACTTTTTTTTTTTCGTTCAGTTGCCTACTTACATTTTTCAGGTTACGTTCAGTGACCAATTTGAACCTTATTCCAAAGAAAATTATCAATAGTATAGGTAATCAAAATTTCATTAATCAACATTCCAAATACAATACATGTCTATATATACAAGGCTAATGTAACGAATAAAATAAATGGGGGCATAATTGATGGACCATTACGTCCGTTACAATATCAATTAACATAATGTCCATATTTATTATTATTTATTATAACGTATATTCAAAATTATCAAAATGATATTTTTGTTTTTTTTTTGAATGAAATGCTTGAAAATTGATTGTTTTTTTTTTAATGTTTAAAATCTTGTATTATAAATTTTATTATTTTTTTTTTTAAAAAAAAACTTAAAATTTGTCATTCAATCCGCTATTAACCGATCAGATCCGCACTCTCTTAGAGTAGCTAAATAAGAGTTGATACCTCCAATGGTCCTTCGAGTATGTGGTTTTACCAACAAACATCCTCTAAGTATAAAATGACCAACAAACGTCCTCCGAGTATCAAAAAGTAACCAGTAAATGTCTTCCGTTATCAAATGTGTTATACTGTGTTTTCATCCGTCCGTTATCAAATGTGTTGATACATGTGTTTTTATCCGTTCGTTATCAAATGTGTTCCTTCGAGAGTATGTGTTTTTACCCGCAACATCATCGGAGTATAAAATGACCAACAAACGTCCTCCGAGTATCAAAAAGTAACCACTAAATGGCTTGGTCACTACTTTTTGATACTCTTGCGGGTCATTTTATACTCAGAGGACGTTTGTTGGTTATTTTATACTCAGAAGACGTTTGCTGGTAAAAGCATAATACTCGAAGGACCGGGAGGTATTATCTCAGCTAAATAATATGCAGAAGAGCATCAATGAAACTCCTCTAGAGGGTTTCAATCAAGCATTATTTGGGTGCACAATGGATATAGCAAGTAATGAAATAAAGAAATGTAAAGAAACATATATAATAATTGCAAAGGGGGTGTTTGCAGTTTGCACTTGGACAGTTGAACTATCCAATCCAATCCATCCAAATCAACAAAAGTGCAGTGCAAACCTTCAATAATATCAGTTTTGGTGAGCTATAAACATGGATATAGCTGTTCACCATTGATACTCAATAAGCAAGACATTTGAATAGAAGAACAAGAAGAAAACATGCTGAAATAGGAACATAAACCACATCACCAGAAACAAGAATTGCTGATATGAATCAACAATTCAGCATCCATGGCGGTACTAGATCACAAGATATGAACTCCAATAATAATAATATTGAAAGTACCAGGTTTTAGAGAAGCAAAGCAGGTGATTCATTCAAGTATACAAGGACCAGTCAGTCCAGGCACCTGAAACATGTCCATTCTCGCAAACATAGGCACGAACAACCGGCTCACCATCGTCGTGGAACCCGAAATACCTTCTCAGACAGAAAGCGGAATGCAAGTCCCATGTCTGTTTGGAATTACAGAATGCACAATTCAGATCTATCTTTTTCCTGTTCCCATCGTTGATTGTCCTCCACACCCTTGACTGCTTGAAATTCTTGAAGATTCCTCGGAAAAGCATGTAGTTTCGCTTCTGCTCCAGATGAAGGCACCCCGGCCAATCGCAGATGTACAGACAATCCTCTCTGAATCGGCTCGCCAGAAGCTTAATCCCCTGCTCGCGACTCAAATTCCACGGACCAGTCGCCAGATGAGAACAAGATCTGGCGATTTTTCTTCTCTTAGATCCGACGACGGTTTTTCTTCTCTTAATAGTACATGAGGGAAAAACGCCGCTCGGACTCGCCGATTTTGTTTGCGCCTCGATCTCATGCGGCAGATCTTGGGACGATTCAGAGACGTCGCAGATTGTATCAAACATCAGATCGTCAAACAAAGACCAACCGGATTGTTCAGAATCCGGATCCACCTGGGCCAAAGAAGGCGGATTTTGGGATCCGGATCCACCAGATTGAGACAAGTCGGGTGGTTCTGTGAAATTCTCATCGGCTCCGAGCTCGCGTTCGAGTCCGAAATCGGAATTCTCCAAGAGCACACCGGAGTGGAGGAGGCCCGGGCAGCAGAAGGCCAGCTTGTAGAGAGCAGCCCAACCGCCAGGCGGGGCTGCTGCCGCGGCGGCGGCGGAGAGAAGATCGGAGACGACTGCGGGAATGGCCTGAGAGCACCTGGATTTGCAGCAGAGGTCGCGGATGAGAGAGGAGAATTTGGTGGAGACGCAGGCGAGGCGTGCCCAGTAGCGAGGGTCGTCCTCGAGCTTGTAGAAAATGTTGAGAATGATGTCGTCGGAGAGCACAGAGAAAGCATTTTCAGCCATAGCGGAACGCGCCAATCTCCTCCACACCACTATCGGATGATGTTTTCACAGTCAATCAAAGCGGACCAGCTGAGTTGTATTCTTGACTTCATTCTACGCCATTATTCAATCATATAAACATATGGTTTATATTGAATTTGAAAACCGCAATAAATTTATGGCTGGGAGAATTTTCAATTTTTTTTAAATAATCAAAAAGAATTCATATTCCTCTTTGTACAATATTTTTTTAATTTAGGAAACAAATATTTTAAATATTAAGAAACAGTAATTGGCTACTTGCATATAATTATTGTTTTACGCCATCCAATGCTCATACATACAATACATACCTCTACCATCTACTTTTTGTATACCCAAAAACTCAACCAACTACTCCCTACTTATAATGTGCATGCATTGCACCTAGACACTACAATGTTTTCTTAAAGAGCAAATATCAATTTTGATTCCACGAGTATTAGCAAAATGACAGTTTTAATCTACATGTTTAATTCTTATCAATTTTCATCCACGACTATTGTTTTAATACCAATTTTCATTCACAACTACTGTTTTAGTGTCAAAATTCATCACGTCGATCACCCTTTCATTTAAGACATGCTAAAATATAAAATTATTAAGGGTAGTTTCGTGCTTTTCAAATTAGGATCCCTATTTGAGTATGAATAAAGGGATTTAAGGCCGAAGGTAGAGCCGTCAAAATGGGTTTAGCCCGCTGGGCTTTCCCGCCCCGCCCGCCAAAAGAGCGGGGTGGGCTCGTGTTTTTTAAGCCCATTTTAAAAACGAGCTTTTTTGCCCGCCCCGCTTAGCCCGCGGGCTAGCCCGCCAGCCCGTCTCTTTTTTTTTTTTTGTTTAGTTTTATATATATATATATATATATATATATATATATATATATATATATATATATATACACAATATGTATAGTATAATAATATAAATAATAGTGTTGGTTATTCGGCGATCGCGGTTATTACACCTTCATAATCGATAAATAACCGAATAGTTGAATAATCGAATTTTTTTTGCCTTATAACCAATAATCGATCGATAACGAAAATTATCGGTCGGTTCGGTTATCGGTTATCAGTTTTTCGGTAATTATACTTATCCCTATTTGTGTCATTAGTGTCATAATGTGATGAACGAATTTATGTTATTTTCTTATGAATAAGTGTTTTAAGTAGATGGCAATTAAGTTATTAACATAGTCACATTAGAGTTTAGATTTTATGGACACATCACACATGATTTAAATAATAATAAATAAGTAAATAAATAAATAACAGGCGGGCTTTGGCGGGGGCCCGCGGGGCGGGCTGCCCCTACCTATGCTCGTATTCTTGGCAGGCTTTTTAGCCCGCCCCGCCAAAAGGCGGGCTTTGGCGGCCCCGCCCTGCCAGCCCGTATTGACAGCTATAGCCTAAGGTCTATCTCAATTCGCAGTTTTTCTCATGAAATTAAGGTAGGATGAAGATGAGAACTGCGAATTGTGATTGATCTTAGGACTTAAATTCATTTATTTATGCTCAAATTGGAATCTTAAGTTGAAAAAATGAAAATGCCCTTAAAATTTTTAGATTTTGAGATGTCTTAAATAAATGGGTGACCAACGTACGTGATGAATTTTAGTACTAAAATAATAGTCGTGGATTAAAATTGGTACTAAAACAATAGTCGTGGATGAAAATTGATAGGAATTAAACATGTGGACCAAAACCGTCATTTTTCTAATACTCGTAGGACCAAAATTGGTATTTGCTCTTTTCTGAAAGGTAAAAGATTATTTCATTGAATCTGATAGGGATTATCCCTTACCGGACTACAGTCTACATTTGGTCGGTGTCAGGTCCATTACTGAAGTGGAGCCTGATCCGACCATTACCTATTTGGACGGCTTGTCCGACCTAAATTCAGACCAAGCATAGTCTGATCAGTCGAGCGTAGAGCAGTGTCAGTCGCCCCCGACCGAGTTAGGTCAGGACTCAGCACCCGACCCGCAATACTTGAAGCCTAGGGCCTAGTTCCTTAGCCGAACTCGATGGCAGCATACCTTAGGGAATCAGGAATCTTAGGACATGTGGACGAGCCGGCTTGGGCCCCGACATTGCCCTGTGTATGTGTTCCACGTGTCACGTATGCCGAGAGACCGGTCGTTATCCCCTCCTTTCCCCTATAAATACCGCATTTAATGCGGAGGAGAATGACTTTTCGGCATTTTTTACACACTAATCTTTAGCTCGAGAGCCTCTGACCCACTATTATGTTATCCGAGCTCAATGACGTAAACCAACAACCAGACTAAGTACAGGGACCGTAGCCAGCATTGACCTTAGTATCGTAAAGAGTAGTAAAAGCTCGTATTTATTACATCATAATCAAAACAAAGAACATCAAACAAAGCAAGAAAACGAATGGAGAATTATTTTGTGCATTCTGACAAAGAACAAATTTCCTTAGTTATTAAATGAGTTACTTTGTTCGCGGAACGTTTGACAAAATTAAAGCTAATGTTCATAAAAAAAAAAGTTTGTTTTTTCTTAATGTAGTCAATCAAAGAGAGAAGAAATCATAGGAGCAGATAGATCATTGAAGACCAAGAGGGCGTTCGTTGCTTGACCTTCTAACATTCAACTTGTTTAGCCAACTCAAGGCCTCTCTTACGCCCATTGCTTGAACTTCTTTTGGTTGAAAAAAGGCATTCAAGGTATCCCACATATCCCGAGATCAAAACGTGGTGGCTGATAGTTTTGCTAAGATTGTAAAAAAAAAAAAAAAAAAAGTGATGGATTGAGTTTGGCGATCACTCCAAAGAAGTCCGCAGGATGATTCGAGATGAATGCTTGGTAGCCTTGGTGCTGGAAATGCCACTGGGAACAGACGAAAGATCTGTTGTGTACCCCTCCCCTTGATCCAAAAAGCAAGATCATGTATTAGATTGCTAATGTTGTTGTTGCTAAATACTTTGGACCTACTTTGGCAATCATTATTTTGTGGACTATACTTTGTATACGGTAAAATAATGTACATTTAGTATAAAAATAATGTACTTTTAGTATATTAAAAATATACATTGTATTAAGGAGATGTGCATTGTTTATGTACTGAGTGCATATTATATTGTATAATGTACATTCAGTACACAAATAATGTACATTTAATATATTAAAAATGTACTTTTTGTTATGGTTCACACAGCACTGTGTGGACAATAGTTTGCCCTACACTAGTTATTATGTAGACCATGGTGTACACAGCTGTGTGGACCACGGTCCAAAAATAACGTCGTTTTGTGTAAAAAAATTCATGTGACCCGCTGCAACATACATTATTCTAAAGCATAATGTACATTATTCTAAAACATAATGTATATTACATTACCCTAGAAATTTCTCTATTCTAACACTTAATGTTTTTTATTTTTTTTGAATGCTACTAGCTCTATTACAATGTAGTATCTGTTCATATACTTTCTCAACCTACTGAAACACAAAGAGCTAATAACGCCTCCACTGAGGCTCGAACTCACAATCTTCCAAATGGAAGTCCAACCCGGGTACCATTGGACCACATAGTCCTGGTTTCTAACACTTAATGTACATGTATTATTCTAACACATAATATATATTAGAGTAAATACTTAAAATTGTCTCTCGACTATAGCTAAATTCACAAATTGGTCCTTGACTTTCAATTTTAACCAATTAAGTCCTTAACTTTGCAATTTTAACACGATTTGGTCCTCCGTCTATTTGACCGTTTGTTGGCCGTGATTTTTGAGGATATATATGTAATTTCATGGTCCATCGTCGATTTTTTAAGGTTCCGGTTGCATTTTCATACCGCACTGTTACATTTGAATCCACCGCCGAAAGCAATCTGCCAAATCCTGTCGCCTTTCTTCATCATCCCTTTGGATTCAATGTAGTTGAGTTCGTACCAGAGTGAAGAAGACAACGTGTTTCCGAACCGGTGCAACGTCATCCTGGAGGCCTCCATGTGCTCCGGTGAGAGCTGCGGGTTTTTCTGGAGATCGTCGATGACGGCGCGGACGCCGGCGTTAATGCAGAAGTGTTCAAAGGACCAAATCGTGTCAAATTGTAAAGTTAAGGATTTAATTGGTTAAAATTGAAAGTCAGACCAATTTGTAAATTTAGCTATAGTTGATGACCATTTCGGATATTTACTCTATATATTATTTTTACTCATAATATTCAACAACGTTATTTTAGACCGTGGTGAATACAAATGTGTGTACCGTGAATTTGCCGATGAGTTACGTTGAAGTTGGACAATACTTAAAATTAGAGAGATTTTGCAGAGATTTTTTCTCTGATTTTCCCCAAGGAATAACAAGCCAAAAGGCTATAATAATGCATGTAGAATCACATGCATGTTTGCCACCTATTATTGCTTCCAGTGTATAGTGTTGTATACTCTAATTAGGTGGAATTCAATTTTAATTTAAAATGTGTACGTAGGCACGTAGCTACTCAAAGCTATCTTGTTTTCCCACTTTCTTAAGTTTAGCAACCCTTTTACCAGTGCTTCCCTCCTACTCAACTCTAATAACTTTAAACCATTAAAAACATCATTTATCCTTGATAACTCACCTCCCACTTATAGACGTGTTTGGTAACATAGTTAACTTATCAACCAATTTTAGTTTATTTAACTATTATTAGTTGTTTGACTTGGTTAAACATTCAATATAAGTGTTTAATTAATTAGTTTTGTGTAACAGCTTATTGCTCCAAAATACTAAAATTCAAAAAACTGTGATGCTCAAAGCAGTATTTTCAATCAGCTTTTTGAGAAAGTCATTTTACATGTAATCAACTATCAGCTAACAGCTAATTTACCAAACATCTTTCTACAATCAGTCAATGCTATCAACTACTCAAATTCCTCCTTTCTTTATCACTTTCTCAAATTTAGCATTGCATTTCTATTTTCTAAGTTGTGTTTGCTTCACCTTCTTATATATACCAGAAAATGCATTGTCTTTTCCTACCATGCTGAAACATAATAGCTTTAAATAGGTAGAAGAACAAATGGAGTGAGATAATTAAAGAAAAAGAAAGAGTGATTACTAATAAGAGCTAAGGGGAAAGAGTAAAA